GGACAGACATATACTGAGTAGTACTTTCTTCTTAACTCATCCCTAATGTTGAGACGAAGGGATTGTATCAATCTTACGGACTTTATCTAGATATACTTAGGACAGACATATACTGAGTAATACTGGGGGGTTGACTCATCCCTAGTGTTGAGACGAAGGGATTGCATCAATCTTACGGACTTTACCTAGATATACTTAGGACAGACATATACTGAGTAATACTTTCTTCTTGACTCATCCCTAATGTTGAGACGAAGGGATTGTATCAATCTGACGGACTTTATCTAGATATACGTAGGCCAGACATATACTGAGTAATACTTTCTTCTTAACTCATCCCTAGTGTTGAGACGAAGGGATTGTATCAATCTTACGGACTTTATCTAGATATACTTAGGCCAGAAATGTACAGCAACACTTTCAATGATATGTAAAGTATCAATTAAACAATGTAACATAACCCTGCCAAATTTGTGTAATATACTTTAGTACAACTGTACTACATATCACTGAAAAATACATCACATAAGTTCAAACACATCCGATTACTAATTCTAGTCTAAATAGCATTACCTACAGATGGTATCCATGAAAGATGATTAGGTTGGTTGGTTGGTTGGTTGTAAGGATTTAACGTTGTGTCAACAGCTAAGGTCATTCAATGTAGTTATCAAGAATAAATAAAGCCTTTTATTTATTTGTTTATTTATTTATTCAAGAACGTGCCTCCATGTGTGTTGTGTATGTGTGCATGTGTGTATGTGTGCCAGAGGCAGGGTTGATTAAAAGATATATCTATTCTCATGAGTTAATTATCATGTACATGTATCAGGAAATTAAGGAACTTGTAGGAAGCTGTGAGGTTATTTTTTTAATCCTTTTGATTTGTTATTTATTTATTTGTATGTTCATGTACACTGTTTGATCATAACGATTTACAAATCAAATATAAACTTAACATACCTTGTTAACCGCATACGTTTTATTTAAGAATAACTCCAATATAAAAATGATAAACACATATCGACACCCATACATCACCTCTTGACTACTCTCTATGTGTAGCACATCTAAATGTCAAAACACACAAATCTACAACATTTTCTTCCAACTAAGTACTTATGTAACTCTGAACAGCGATATAGATTTATGTCAATTTTCTAGCATTATAATCATGGTTGTCTTGCTGTTACAATGTACATGATATAAATGGCTAAATATTGACAAAGTGTAGACTTTATGAAGCACTGGGATACTTCAAAATCCCATACCCTCAGACAGTATGCTTACAGAGATAAAGTGGTTTCTTAATGTGTTTTAGGATGAACGTACTTTCAAAAGAAAGGGTCTCAGGATTTACCTTGCTTCTATGTATATATTCAGTGCAAACATACACAATTGTAGGTTAGTTTAAAGTTAATCAAATATTACCACATATTATATAAACTTTACGAAAGCTGATATACTTACTGTGGTTCCCAGTCTAAGGTTAATTCCCTTGAATTTCCTTTCAGCGGTGGTATTAATAGAAAGGTCTGTACATCTTAACTACTAGAAAAATATAACAGTAATGTTAGATATACCTTACGAACAGTAAAATGTTACCCAAAATCAACATGAACATATTTTAATTGACAATAAGGAGCAGGCTTTCTTTATCACACACATAGTAACTTATCTAATACAAATCATTAGACAACATTTGATTTGCAAAATAAAGAGGTAAAAAAACACAACTAATACACAATTTTTTTATTCTAAATGCCTCTAAAAAAAAATATTTTATTTCAGATTATTTTCTTATTACATGTATTGATAAATGAAATTCTTGTATAAAAAAAGTGTTTTAAAACGTTAAGGAAAGGACGCATGTGACCTATGTGAAATAGAACATGAAAATCATGTCTGGAAATTGTCATTATAATGATAGCTAGGTACAAGGCACAGAGGGCACTATCTCATAATCATTTCAATCTACATAAAATTTCAAAAGAATCAACTTTGATATAAAAAGATATATGTATCTATTTTGTGACTTTATCACCTTGTTTCTTATCACAACATATGCATAAATGAGTAAGAGAACTTACAAACTTAAAACAACACTGAATACACCACTAACAGTTTATATTACCCTAAATAAAAGGTACAAATTCTGGAATGTTTTGTTTGCAAAATATTTAAAGCAGAATTTACATCCTCATTGTAAAAAAAAAAGTATGTGTGATTTTTATTATATCATCTTTTATGGTATATGGGTCGTTTTTCAATTGATTACACCGTATTTCACATAACATTGGTAACAAATAACTTGACAAAATGTGAATCATGACACTGTCAGGACATCGTTTTTCTGAGGAGAAAAAAAACGGCACCCTTTTTGTAAGAAATCACAGTTCAAATACTGAAAATAAATTCGTAATTATCAAAACAGGTTTAACTCATTCACCCCTAAAGACACATTCTAACTCTTCCAATTCAAAGGTTGGAATAGTTCATTATGCAATTTCAAGGGTGAATGGGTTATGTATAACATACTAGAGGCACCAAGTTAGGTAAAGCCTATGTGAAAATGAAACCTCAGTTTCATAACCAAAAAAGTTACCGTTATTAAGTCTGTGATTGTTAAAACAAATATCCACGTGTCACATCTCAATTTACTCTACAGTCATATAACATTTCCCTTAGAACTTATCCAGTTTACGTTTCTGTATTATTGATTTATTCGAAAAAATGGACAGATTGAGATTCTTGCCAAAAAAGGCATAACTTTAAGGTCTTTTTACCCCATAACTTTTACATACATAACAGTAACATCAAAGAGAATAGCTATAACATTTGCATACAATGCATAATTCACTTTAACTTTGATCTAAGAAATATATGAAATAATATTATTTCAATTCAACAGCTGTTGTGCTTCTACAAAACTGTTATCTTAATGATATGGTAATAAGGGTTTCTCTGAGACATCACGAATATGCATCATGTATCATTCATGAAAATTCGTATTTTACATTCTTTTATATACACATAATTCATGAATATTCATAACCAAATTGTTTATATTGTACATGTATAATATTCAGATATTCATAATCTATTACAGGTACTGAAGATAAGCACATTTCTAAGTGCATATTTTTCATCTATATTGCTGACAAACAATTGCATCTGCAAACCAGCCCTCTATTCCCAAGAACTACAAACAACTGGTGCAATAATTCCTGTGATTTAAGCTAGGAAGAATATTGGGTTTCTAGGACAGCTGATTGTACAACCAAGTGATTGGAGGCACGGTAATCTATTGGTAGGACACTGGGCTCGTGCCCGATTAGTCCAAATCATTCTGACGTTTTATCGACTTTTTTCATATCGGTCTGTCGTTGATTAACGACAGACCGATATGAAAAAAGTTGATAAAACGTCAGAATAATTCGGACTAGCGCCCGATGGGTTGTGGGTTCGAGTCACGTCACGGCACTGTGTTTTGTATAAGATACTTTACTCTGCTTTTTCCAGTTCACTCAGCTGTAAATGAGTATGTGATTGGGCAGTGCTAGAATTGTTGAATGCTATCTGTGAGCGCCGAAAAGGCAACACCGACTTTATGCTCCCCAGGGAATTGAGAAGATAATCGCTGCTTGCAAAGGCGCCTATAACCATGGTTAAACAGTGGTTAATTAAAAACTTCAAATCATTAGTATTATTAATTATTACAGGGTTTAATGTCACATCAACAGCTTCATGTAAGGAAAAGTAACAATGTCAAAAATCATTTTTTTTCTTGATTCTCTTGAGTGAACATTTGTACCTTCATAAATATTCATTATATCTTACGAATATTTCATAGAAACTTTACAGTAGGTCTCTTGACCAAACAGTTCCACTTTTATGAATATTCATTATCTGTTATAAATATTTAAAAAGTATCCAATAGATGTGTACATATTGAAAAGTAAAACTCACTTAGATTAAAAAAATACCGTATTTCAATGTCATGTTCAACACCTTAATACAAATGCTGCAAAAATGTTTCAATGTCTTTTTATATATGTAATAATATAATTTATATACACCAAACACATCGTATTCAAAAGAAATCTTGGCCCCAATTGAAGTTAAAGCAAAATACAGGAAGCATGTTTACAAAATAGGTATCTGTTATCATAAAAACTCTCAAAGATTAACGATGTTATATTAAGAATGAAAAACAAAAATTATAGAAACACTTAATATGACATGAATATTTGATAAATAACTGTAAAATATGAAGTTATCAAGATAAATATGCAAATAAAAGCAAATAATCACAACCAAACTCTAACAGAAAGTGATCCAACCCTGTAAATGGTGTCTCATATAAACAAGTAGTATTTGAATGATATGATCAATGGAAGTAACACAACCTACGTTGAAGACAAAGAGAGAAAAACGACAACACATGCATTGATTTTAGTGACAAAAAACAAATGACAGATGTGAGCACTAATGGTGAGAAATCACCAATATTTTGTAACTATTGTACAAACTATCTGAACACACAAGCCTCTGTTTTGAGACAATAATTAAAAAATGAACAGAACAAACAGGTGAAATCATAACACAACTTGAAGTTCATGGAAGCATAATGCCTTATAAACTGCGTAGTTCCCGTACTGTAACCACCATTATTTACGTACACGTGTACTTTGAATGTTATTAATCACAAATGCGGTAAACAAGAAACTAGTTCACATGATGAAATTAATGAATGAACAATGCCTTATATGAGTATATATTTCGGATTTTAACAAGCATACTTTGCATATTATATATGCTAATTAGCTTGAAACAAATTTCCTGTAAACATCATAATCATTCGTATAGATCTGATAAAGTTAATTACCTCCCTTAAAATTCTGAACACTCTTCAATAACACAGGAAATTTATCTCAATTGAAATTGACATTAAGAGAGGACAAATTGAATATCAAGTGGGTTCAATGGACAGATAGACAGACAGATAGACAGACAGATAGCCCACTGGACAGACATTAAACTCCAGTATCTCCTGCTGATGGCTGATGTATAATTTTCTCAAAAGTAGAAATCAAACTATCTGGATAGTTTTAATGGTACAAAATTGCCACACTGAGTTTAATTGATTGATGATTAGAAAATCTCTTTTTAAAATAATTTTGGCGTAGACTTTGTAGGCCTTAAAACTTCTTTCCATGTATAGTCACATATACATAACTACAAACTTACAGGAAATTGGATCTTTTTCCAAAGCTTAATTTTTTGGATTGAATGGTCAGATTTTCAGTGACCTAATTGTTAGCCTTGCCTATCTTTCTATACAACATCTTCAGGTTGTCGTGTGTGTTTACAGAGTCTGGCTCCAACTGTAGCGCACGTTTATAGGACTTCTCAGCCAGGTCATGTTTGTCCCAGCGGTGGTACAGTACGCCTAAATTGGCATGAGCTTTAGCCAAGTTTGAATCAATTTTGATGGCTCGCAGAAAGTACTGTTCACTCTCCTTATAGCGGTCAGCTTTCCCCATAACATTGGCTAGATTGATGTACATCTGTGCATCTTGACCGATGTACTTGAGTGCTTCCTTGCCTACAGCCTCTGCCTGGTCCACTTGATCTACAACAAAAAGAGGTTAGAAGAATTCAACAGGTTATTTAGGCAGAGGTCAGAAGTCAACAGGTCATTTATAGATAGAGGTCAAAGACAAACAGGTTATTAACATGATGGGGTCAGAGGTCAACCGGTTATTACATAATGAGGTCAGAGGTCAACAAGTTATAACATAATGAGGTCAAAGATCAACAAAGTTATCAGGGCAGAGGTCAGTAGTCAAAAGGTTATTACCTGGTAACAAAAAGGTCAGTATGTTTTTCACACAAAAAGGTCAGAAATCAACAGGTTATTAGCTCAGATAGGTCAGATTTCAATGCGTTATTAACACAGACAGGTTAGAGGTCAACAGATTATTCACACAGATGTCAGAGGTCAACTGGTTATTTTAGCAGAGGTCAGAATTCAACCGGTTATCATTACAGAAAGGTAAAAATTCAGTAGGTTATTAACACAAAGAGGTGTGAGGTCAATATGTTATTAACATAGAAAGGACTGAGGTCAACAGATTGTTAACACACACATATGTTAAAGATAATCAGGTTATTAACACAGATAGGCCAGAGGTCAATAGGTTAAAGACTGACAGGACATTATGAGTAACACAGAGATGTCAACCAAATATTGTTTTACATGGATGCCAATGTACATGTACATCATAATTCCTAAACCAAGTAACAGCCTCATACAATATTATAGAGTCAGCACACCAACGGTACATACTGAGGTTATCCAGGAGGATGACCATATTGTTCCAAGCGTTGAAGTGTGTAGGTCTCTGTAAGGTAGCATTCCTCCACGCCTGTATAGCCTCATTGTGCATCTTCAGATCCAAGTACTACAAGCCAGCACAAACACATTTAGGAGCTTTCATCAACTTTTTCTACTCAGCATAATAGACAAAGCTCAGGTAAATTTTTCAGTGGATGGAATGACTGAAGTGCAGTTGACAAGTTAAGGTACAAGGCAGAGCCTGGTAGTCTGATACACATTTAGCCATGGCATGCTAGTCCTGTTATAAATTTTTCATCTTCTTTTCAATAAACACAAATAGTTATGATTTTTAAGCACTATAGTAGGACTCTACAGTAATCGGGATAAAATCAGACTACACAAATCTTTATTTTTTTTAAATAGTGGTATGTTACAATGTTCGAATACTCATTGTAAATAATAAGTACAGAAAAACTTGAAAATAGACAAACTTATATACCTAATTTTGATGTAAATATAATATAATTTTGAATAAAATAAAAAAAGAAATAGAAAATAATGAAGCAAAACAATGTTTGGATACTTAACATGCTTTTGCAGTTAACAAATATTTTGCATAAAAGAGCAGTCAGAAATTAATGATTTTACACACTGGACACAGATGTAATAGAAGCTCTGGCTATAAAGGCTGTTAAGCGTACCAAGTTGCCAAGGTTGTAGTAACAATCTGGGTATTTCCTACGATGTAGCAGGGCCCGGAAGTAGCTTTTCTCTGCCAAGTCGTTCTTCTTGAGGTTAGACTGGACGATACCAAGGTTCATCCAAGCTGCGGCAAACTCATCTCTGTTCACAAGAGTATTAGGTTTACACATTAGTCACCGAGGACACTGATTTCCAGTAAAACATTTTAACTTTTATTACTAGTGAAACAGATTTCCAGTTATCAACTAGACTTCTGCTATAAATGTAAAATTGCATTCGATCATACACCTTTCAACAAGAAGGAGATTGAATTTTAAATAATGCAGAAAAGTCATATAAATGTCAAAAAAAGAAAAAAAACATTATGGCATAAAATATATCCCATAGGATAATTGGGTCAATCAATTGGCAGACATTGGGTACATGTGTAGGGTTTCTTTACAGTGAGTTCTACAATTAAAGTTATCTGCAGGATGCTAACAATAGTACCATCTCCACCAACCATGAATAAATAAAATTTCTATTAACATGTTCTATGTTTTAGTGGATACTGAGTGTCAGTTAGCATGTTCAAGAAAACCAAAGTATCAGAAAGAGATTTAAGATTGATATTTTTTGTGAAGTTGGTAATTCTCCATAACACACAAGGCCCAATGCAGTATATTTCTTTTATAAAACTGAATGTCCCATATTTTGATAAAAAAAAAAAATTGTGTTAAACTGAACGTTTCTTCATTCCAAAATATGAAGTTATACCATATCAGAGTAGATATCACTCTGTATTGCATGCATGCTTTGTGACCCGAGATTGCGTAATGCTTTCATAATGACTCTGTAAAAGTCAAAACATGTACATTTTGTATCTCTGGTTGGAATAGACCAAGTTTGCCAGACAACTATCTGTCGAAATGTCTTAGTCTGCTGTCAGGGCCAGAGGAAACTTGGGCTATGGTTAAAACAGGCAAACGGTTATAAAAATATCATCACATGTGGCATGGTAGCTGGGGATGTGTAGTCACTGTCGTACATAATCATATGTTAATTTGAGGGGATGGAAACAGTGTGTGTGTGACTACCGGTACATGTATTATATCTGACAAAATAAAGCACCTAAATATCTTACCTAGTAACCTATGTGTAACTGCAATAATTAATTTTTATTTAGATAAGCAAATTTTGTCTTTACCTAATTCCGACGGCCTTCATTAGGAGCTCCTCTGCCTCCTGTAGGTCTCCCCGGTCTTTTAGTATGTTAGCTAAGTTGTTCATAGCCTGGTCATACTCATGATTTAAACTGGAAAAGAAATTAAACATTTAATTGATCTTCCATTGCAAACGTTTTCTGGTTTTCAGAATCTACATTCTTGAATGCTGTTGGGTTTTTTTCAAATTATTTGGTTTCAAAATGAGATGAAGTAGAAAATTAGCAATTAAAATATTTCAAATAATTACAGTAGGTTACTTCAATTCCGCGTGATATATATTTTCCCATAAATTTCAGTAAAAGACCAGGAATATCTAGTATTCCGAGGAGATATTTGGCCTTCATAGTATACCAGTATCATGTAAAACGACTCTTAGCCATGACTTTGAATTACCTTTTATATGACAACAATATTACTATGCTATCAGATATTTCCCCCCGGACTTAAAGATGAGTGTACCTGATGGCATCTCTGTACTTCTCTATGGCCTTCTCCACGTTTCCACGGTCTCCATTAAGTTTAGCGATGTTATAGTGCACCTATGAAACAACAACAATCAGAACAGGTAACACCACACAAATCAACACAAACTTGGCAATCATTTGGTTTTCAGAATAACAAAACTTAACAGTACCACGTTCACACTAGTCTCCAGTTTTGTCACCTCCCTTGCCTCTTTTATGTGTCAATCTATAAGTACATTTCACATATTTATATATTTCATTGATATCCTTTACACTCCATCATTGATACAATTAATTGTACTTTGTCCCTTTTTTATTGCCTCCCTTACCCCCACTGTATTCCAAGGGCCGTTTTCGTTTAAACGGTCAAACCGGTCGGACCACAGTTGTTTGTTTATTAAATATTTGTTTGTTTGTGTTTTACAAGAGTATTCTGATGCTGCTTTCAGGCGAGCTTTGACAAAGCCTTGCAAGGCCTACATGAACGTTTGCAGGTCCGCAAGGATTTATACCCGAAATTGTTACATTATAAACGGTCAAACCGGTTGTTCCGCATAAACGAACAGGCCCTAAGCCTCCTTTTTTTTGTCTGATTTTTTTTTTTTATATCTCTATAAATTAATCAATTAAGATGGGCGAAAGCGCTAGCGAATTGTAGTCTTTGTGTTTGGTTTTATATATAAATCAATCAATATATATACCTTGTTGACCCATTTGACAATGTCATATGGCCATGTCATAAGTATGATAATTCCCACATGTAATAAAACCTGAAGGTGCTACAATTGGTCAAAATAGGGGGAACATATTCCTAAACCACTGCAGCAACTACTTGTATTTAACAGGTTTTTTTCCAGATAAATTTGAATGTTTTTTGCTATTTAATGGATTTGAAATTTAATTTAATTATTTTTATTTTCATTGCATTTAAAACTGTTCATTATTAAAAAAAAAAATGAAAAGAAATCTGGAACTACTTTTTTCAAATTATGAATGTTATGTGATAAATAGAATCTTACATGTGCGTCCATGTCATATTGAATTTACTGAACTCGTTCAATAAATTTGATAAGACACAAACACTCATGTAAGATCCTCTATTTATTGTATATGTAATTGTTATAGATATAGCAATCTTTTTTCGTCTCATCTTGCATCCTGTATTTCAAAGTTCCTTTATAACTTTTGTTAACAATTCCTTCATAAAGCTGCTTTGGTATATCACCAAACCACTTTACAATGCCAAAAATAGCTTGACAAATGGTGGCAATATAACAAACTATTAAACATATTGTTACAATTTCTTTTCAACAAATTGAGCATGTTTAGTTCAAATACAAAAATTGACTATCATATTTGTTGATTCGGTGACCCATGAACTACCAGTACTGACAGTGGAGCTCGGCAGTAAAATGACAGATCAAAACACCAATCTGACAAACAATTCTTAGATATCTCTTAGAGTACCCTCACAAGGTTATGGTAACTCACAGGTGTGAATTGCTTACATCTGTCAATAGCTTAGCATACCTTTGCATTAAGGGGACAGACATTTACACCAGCTTCAAATAGTGACATCTCCTTTCTCCACTCATAGCTCCTGTGTACACAACGCGCAGTGAAAATGGCTACCAGGAAAATTAATGTGTACCTCACCACCTGTCAAACAGAGGCATATCATCAGGTACACAGAACAAACACATAGTTATAGACTCAATTACCCTTGGTCCAATAACTAGGACTTGCAAGACCTTTGACCTGACAGTAAAATTTTGATTAAGTCTGATTGAAAATCAGTATAAACATACAAGAATAGCTATTTGACATAACATATCACAAATACAAACATACAAACATTTTCTCTATAGAGAGTTACTCTCAGAAATTTGCCAAAGTGTGTCTTTCCATGGGCATCTGCCTTGTGATGGATCGGCCCACGTTTTTGAGGTTTTACCTGTGGATCTGCCCTCTTTCTTGAGGGTTTACCTGTGGATCTGTCCTCTCCTCTTTTTAAGAATAGGCAGTATTCTCCTATGACAACATTAAAATAGAAAGTCCATCTCTACAACTGTGTTTGCAGATAAGTTGTGTTTTACTCACCTGAGGGAAGGTGTGAGTTGATACAAGCCTCTGGACACCGAGTACAATGATTATACAGTAGCCTGCAGTAGACAGGTACAGTACTCGCTCAGCAATCACAAAGCCCACACGGAACAGAAGGTTTGTGGCAGGTAGGAAAGGAACCACAATCAGGGCCAGACCCATAGACAGACATCTGCAATGTACAATTGCCCATTGATAAACATTTGACCATAGACAGATAATTGACCATAGACAGATAATTGACCATTGATAAACATTTGACCATAGATAGATATATAACTGTACATATATTTGACAGTAGAAAGATATTTGACTGTAGACAAAAATTTAACCAGAGACAAATATATATGGGAGGAAACTGGAGTACCTGGAAAAAACCAATGTGGTGGGGTAGGTGACCCCATACCTTTTCGCATCCGATCGGGGTATTGAAACCTGGCTGCCTTGATGAAAGGGTTATATATACCTATCATACCTAATGAAGAAAATATGCTCCAATAGAACCGAAAAGGATAAGGACTATTCCATAATAAAATCTATGGGGGAGGTGGGAGGCACATGTATTAATATATTATGGGTGGTGGGGTTAAGTTCAGATATGTCTGTCATTCCTGACATTACATCATTTATATTATATGAAGAGTGGTATAGGGTCTCAGAAAAAGTGCATCCCATATGGTTATTTCTGGAGCAGCGCTAAGTAAGTGGTGATAAATAAGAGACTAGCCTATTCTTATGTAATCTGAGTAACGATATCAATGAAACATTGTCTGAAATATCATTTTACTTAAAGCATTTCATAATCTTATATTTTCACTATTCATCAGAATAATGATCTAATTATCCGTCTTGTAAACAACCATGCTGGGCCTATGATAGTTAACTCAAATGACTTTTATAATTTAGTATCACAATGGCTGCATTTATCTGTCAATCCTGAATGCCTGTTCCTGCGGACTATGACATAACACGATTTCAAGTACCGTTTCTCCCGATCCATGGCACCATTTAATGCTGCAAACAACAATCCTCCGAGCACCAACCAGAATGCAAATACAGCCAAAACCCGGGGATCCATCAGAGACTTGATGACAGGTAAACAACCCATTGACCAATCAAAACAAAGCCACCAAGGGTTGACCAATAGGAAACCGTTGATGGAGTACAGATAGTTGTAGTTCAGCACCTGAAACACATATCAAAAACTAACTTCAAATCTAACGAGTATCTGTTAATTTTAGGGTTGATTCAAGAACTGGAAATACATGTAAAGCCACATCTGATTTAAACTCCTGAACCTTCAAAATCCAGTAGAATGAGCACTATTAACACTGGGCGAACATGTATTATTTTGATGAAGGGCGAAATTTTCACTTTGTAGAACAACATTCTCAGTATACAGTAATACCTACCCTTGTAAGTTTTCTGTTAACAAAGGAATGTGGGTTATCATTGAATACCTACCTTTGTAAGTGTTCCGTTAACAAAGGAATGTGGGTTATCATTGAATACCTACCCTTGTAAGTGTTCCATTAACAAAGGAATGTTGGTTATCATTGAATACCTACCTTTGTAAGTGTTCCGTTAACAAAGGAATGTGGGTTAACATTGAATACCTATCCTTGTAAGTGTTCCGTTAACAAAGGAATGTAGGTTATCATTGAATACCTACCCTTGTAAGTGTTCCGTTAACAAAGGAATGTAGGTTATCATTAAATACCTACCCTTGTAAGTGTTCCGTTAACAAAGGAATGTGGGTTATCAAACACCTGGAATGTGGGTGTGGTTGACCCCATTAATCTCCACCGTGTCGCAAGGATGGTCAGACCTCCGCACAACAATAACAGCTGGCGCTTCACAAGGGAGGTAATCCATGACCCATCATCCTGTTAAAGAAAATTCATTGAATATACCTAGTTACATAACCTTACCAAACAGCCCTATCAGTATATCCAGTGAAATTAACAGCTGCCCTATTAATGGCAACTGTATTCTATTGCAATACCAATTCTCTTTCTGGATGCCTGTGTAATAGAACTTGAAACTTTTGAGAGGAAAGAAAAAATGCTCCATGTGAAATGTGACAGAGGAAAGAAAGAATGAAATACAGTTAAAATCTGACAAGTGTCTGATACAGGTAGAAAGGAATGACAATGTGAAATGTACTTGGCCAAATGCAAACATGTATTAAATCTGGCAGGTTTGGGGTCCTAACCCAGGGCACATTCTCAAATTATGTCTGGAATCTGTACAAGATTGAAACTCATATTCTTAGCATATGCATTGTGACAGCGCATGGGAAAGTACCTCTCTGTGTCCAGTGCTACCATTGGAGTGACCATTGTCCAGTGACTTGAATTCTTTTTTCAGCCCAACAGCGGCCAACACATCCACCCTACAGATCATAATGATATCGAAGGCACTACAGATTCCCTGAAACAAAACAAGCAGAGTCCATTAAGCTACCTTTTGATAAAAATTCAAACTTACATAATTTCTGAAATATTAAAGCAGGTGAGTGAATCAAGAAGCAAAATGTTTTGGATACCAAATGCTTTTCTTTTTTTGTGAGTGAAATTGTTCCAGAACATGAGTGGAGCCAGGCACCCTATTTAGGGACATCTTCGATCTCCAGATCTCAAATTTATGGACACATTACTTGACAGGATGAAATATATTTCACTGCTACAATTCTAGTTGATAACATGAATTCAATAAATTTATTCAGTTGTTACGAACATGGAAGCACCTAGAAGTTTTTTATTCTGTTGAAAAAGTATATTTCATTTTAAAGCTATCAATGCAAAAGATTTGTTTTCTCTTATCTATTCAAGCGTGTACACTCTATATCACATAGTTTACAATCTGAAACAATAAAACGTTACTGTTGCGGGGAGGTGATTATAAGTTTTAAAAATCTGCCTTTAAAACCCCCCACCAAAACCTGATATTTCATTTTATCAATCTAAAAAGAACTTACAATGGGATACTTACAATGACAGTGATGCCTGTCTCCTTACACAAGACAGACATGCCACAAAGGACGATACTAAGGAGGATATGAGGAAGAGAGAATGAGGAAGGGCGACATAGCACACTATCTCCCTTTTCTACTGCCGCTGCAAGGTGACAAAAAGACATTTAAATATATTGATGTATCTTTTTTTCTCCTTATTTAGATTTATTTTATTCCATTTTATATATACCATTGGAAGCACAGTCCCACTACAAGCAGAACACAATACATCTCCGGCACACACACATAGGGAGATATTAGCTAGGTGGGATAGGACTGGTAGTAAGCGCTCGATAAGGCAGCTCCTGCAAATTCCTCAAAAATTGTATTGACTAATGTATATGCTAATTGTATAAATTGTATATCTATGTACTGTAAAGCGTGTTAGAGTGGCATATGTTAGCTAGATAGGGCGCTATATATATATCACATGTTGTATATTATTATATTATTATCATTCAGACATATTGTTTGTAGTTCATTCTGATGTAATCTGTAAACTGATGATGAAATTGTAGTTAAAATGGATACACAACCTTAAATAAACAAGGACAAGATGGATTTTAGAGACCCTCAACTCACTACTTAATTTATATTACAGGTGTTATTTACTAAAACCCAAGGGTTCCATTCCTGGTACACACATCTTCTCTACACCTTGGTGTAATTCATTACAAAATTGAAGGCTATGTATGTGCCACCTTTTGGATGACACAAGTAGACTAGTTTGATCATTTGATGTACATCACAATAATCATGCAACAGCAAAATGGTAAAATTGACCTGCTCTAAAGTTGAATCTACAAATGATAGGTATCAGCTTAGCAGTAGGTCATTTTTTTTATTTCTAAAACTAGTCAAATAACTATTATCATGTGCCTTCAATTTTGTCATAACAAATTCCAGGGGCATAGAGAAGATACATGTATCAAGAGCAGAAGACCTGGAGTTTGAAGATGGTTGCATACTGACCTTGGACACACGAATTTACATAAAACTTGAAGGACAGGATGAAGAGTAAGGCACATAACAGGTCTGCTCGACCCACAACCCCTGCCACCTGTAACATGACAAGTATAATTATGGATGATACTTTTCAGCCAATCTTGCGGTCCCCGTTATTACTAATGTTAAACTATTTGCCAAGGACCAGCCCCACATTTAATGCTGGGTTGGAGTCCTTCATTCACTCCTTGATCTTCAGTTAGAGTTATGACAATATATTTAAAATAACAGACAAGATGACAATTTTAATGATTTGCAGTAATTTTGAATTAAGCATTCAGTTTGTACATAACAGTGTAATATAGAAGAGTATACATTTTGTTCAACTGTTGATCATCAATTTAAAAAGTCCAATGTTTTTGTCCTTAATTTCAAGTTATTCCATTCAATATCCTATTTCTTTAGTCTGAATACTGAATTTTCTCACTAAGGCTCATAAATGAAACATAATTGGCCTTAACAGAGTGACCTAATCAGATTTACTTAAGAAGCTTTACTGACAGTTATGGTAATATCTGTGAGAGTGTTACATACAGATTCTGTGTGGATTGGATGGACGGCAAACAGTATTGCACACAGCAGTGATGCCCGAGGAGTTCCAAATGCTAACGAACCCGTCTCCTTGGCAATGATACACTCGGAAAATAAGTTGGAAAATAGTGATAACATGAGCACAGAGACAATGCTGTGGAGTAGGATGTTGACTATGTGGAACCCCAGTGGATACAGACCTCCCGCTAAACTGTGGCTCCACCTGTAACACGACGGATACAAAATATTACATGTATAATTTGGTGAATTTTAAGATACATATCAATATAAACCCATGTCAATACTGTACAACACGAAATATTCATGGGAATTTTCTTTCTTGGCTTGAAGCCATTTAGATAGTATCGTGGTACAAAATTTAGTGGATACCCCCATATAAACAAAAAGTAGTCAAGTATATCAACTAAATTTGTTGTAATTATTTTCGTGGTTACGTAGCCTCCACGAATGCACATTTTATGTTACACAGTGCATCAATGCATTTTCATTGACAGAGTTGCACAATAAAAAGTTTGAAGGACGACATACACGTCCAAAATGTAAAGAAAGCCATTCAAGTTTTTTCTTGGAACCTTACATATTATACCATTGCAGCTAAACAAAAAGTTATAAACATGTAAGATATGATTTCAAGATTAAGTTACATTTTAGCATCATTGGTATTACTTTTAGTACTGTTCATGCTAATTTGTATACATGTACATTCAAAATAAAATTAACAAAATCCATATCACTTTTTACATTATTTTTTGTCTGAGAACTAAGAATTGTAAGAAAACGTTAATTCATTTTTTTTTTAAACCAACATCAGTAGCTAGATGTCTATGACTTGTGAATCTTTAAACTCACCTGAAGGTGAGAACTGTGAGAGGCCTATAGGACTTGTGACTGGTTTTGGACGCGAGATTCTTGCCCCAAAAGTCGTGGAAGAACAGGTCCGTAACGGGTACATCTGTACTTAGATCTTTATTGTTCAGGATGGCCTCACTGTCGTCAAAAACAAAGTCACCATCGTAGCTGTTGGCAAAGCAGAGCCCAGCTAGTACAAAGACAACAACATAAGCTGAGGTCAGACTAAGTCGCGGGACAGGTATAGCATCGTCCCAGCTTCCTTGGGACCTGGTGTCATTGTGTAGGGCATGTCCGTTGGCACCCTTAGAATGTGACGATGACCCATTTTGTTGTACTTTGTACATAACTATGTGTTATCTGGAAATCATTCTGAAAAGTGAAAGACAATAATGTTAATTTAATTAATTGTAACTCTGACATTTTTTCAAATATCAACCAGAAACTTGGTATGTAGGCGTGTTATAGATATAGGAATAACATATCTTCTTCTTCCAGTAGCTTTATAGTGCAGACTGTACTCGCTACCATATTATCACACTAGGTACATACTAGGTGCATATCACTTACTTTGGTCAGTATTGTCTTGTGATGCTTTCTTAACTGTACAGGCTGAACATACATGTCACACCACCACTTGTAAAGAATTAATTCATCTTAAATAGGTCAATTTTCAAACATTGACCTGAAATTTGGCAAACAGGCGTATTGTAGTAAGACGAGGAATAGCGATAAAGATAGTGCCTTTGCTGGGGCTCGAACCGGCGACCCTTGGCTCTCCAGCCTGATGCTCTACCGCCGGGCTAAAAGGAAATTACCTAGTACAGCTGCACTTGTAAGGCATTACCTAATCAATGCACATCTTTTACACTATTCCCCCCTTTTTTCAAAAACCAATCCACATGTTTTACTCCCTGCTCTGCTTTATGAAAACGTGGAATTCTCTGACACCGTTTGGTATCGAGGAGTGACTATAATCAACAAAAAGATGCGGTCTGGTAATCTTCTTAACAATAATTATACAATCCGCATTCGGCCCGGATTAATACGGTTTGTTGATTAGCCACCCCATGACCTACAAAAATGACATTGGCTCAGGTGGGAAAATTTGAACGACTGAAAATTGAGGACTCTACTGACAGGATTTAGCAGCTGTTGGTGATAATAAGAGCTGATTTGGATCAATAAATAATCCATTTATCGATCGATATACATATGTATGTGAGGTAATAATATGTGTTGTGTCATAGTAGATTTTTGTTGTGAGCACCTCATAACTGTACGATACCAAATGATGTTGGAGAATTCCACGTTTTCATATAGCAGAGCGCTCTGGCCCCACACCAGGCATATATATGTCAAAATGTCTAAGTCTGGTGTTAGGGCTAGTGCTAGGAAACTCAAGGGCTAATGCCGTCGAAGGGGATCGAACCTGTGACCCTTGGCTCACCAGCCTATTGCTCCGCCGCTGACCTAAAGGGAAATTCCCTATAGCTGACGCTTGTAAGGCAACCTTAAATCAATGCACATCTTTTACAGTATTATAGTTCACATGGACAACACGTCTTTGTATGTCGCTTAAGTTAATTATTTTAGTCAGTATTTTCAAAGATTTTGTCTTGCAATGCTTGTTGTCAATTGACCCTTTAATTATTGTCGGTTGAAGACACTTTTGATTGTGACTGATCGTAACGAACCCCTGTGATGCATGTACAAGGTGAAAAATCTCGAAATCACAACCCCACCTTAATAAAATCTGCTACGGAAACTTCCATAATTGAATAAAAAATGGACTTTATGATCAAGTTGAAAACGGAAAGTGACGTTACTTGAAGAGGAGAAATTTGGGATAAGAATGCATTTGTGAAACCCTCCATCAAATGGAAGTCGTTGTATTAGAACGTGGACCTTTGAAACTGGTTTTCAAGCTGCCGTGCAGTCAACCGTGTAAACAAACCACTGCTTCTGAAGACTCTTCTCCCGGAAACTTTTATAAGTGTCCTACCCTGTAAACAATCAACAGAAGGTGCTTCACACACATAGCGCATTGTTTATAACGCACTTTTTGACAAAACCCGTACACTTCCAAAGTAAAATGCAATGTTTACCTTTTCTGTACCTGTGTATTTACTTTTTGCACCGTCTCACCTGGCGAGGCCGCTTACATCCGTGTAAAAATAACAACATTGAAAATAAGCATTGCCGAAAAAATAGAGGCGTGAATATATATAAAAACTCTTCAATTTACAACTTTTTAATACTCTGAAACATTTAAGGATATGGTTTTGCGGTCTAACGGCGGCAATATTAACTGTATTACCAAACAATCTACTTCCAAGGGAGACAACTTCTCCAAAAAAAAAAGAAGTTGTTGGATATTTTATTGAACAAAAGATATATATAAATAAATATATTAATGATCTTGACCAAGAAAACATAAGAATGTCAAAAACAATGTGGGAAGGGGCATTAGAAATTAAATTGTCTATGCTCTAACATAAATATATGACAAAACAATTTGTTTCTGTGTTTTAGCATTCATAGGCGAAACATTTTTTTTTTTTTTTATACTAATTGAGAATTAGTATTTAAACAAGTTGAAGTAGACTTTGGCAAATTGTCATGGTCCAAAAACATACTTTAGGTATCGGCTCATGCATGCTACCAGGGATTTTCTTTCGTGTCCAGCAATGACCCNAAAATTCTCGGGGTGGGGTGGGGGGTTTCCTGAAGCCCATAAAACCCCTCTGGATCCGCCACTGTATATATAAGGATTTGGTACCTGGAAAGGAAATGGCGAAATAAACACTAATAATAACCACTACATAAATAGATGCTTGGCATGAGGAGACGAACAGAATAATGCACAGAGACTGACCCCTTAATTAGTTAAACCCCGCCACCAGGACATAGTCCCTGAGTTACGACATTGAAACGGTCGTGATCCTATATCCTTATAACCATATTTGCAGTTGATATTCAGGAGGAAATTATATATCCATGCTACAAAGATTGGTCTCCGAGGGCAGCTCCGCCCCTAAATACTTATTCCGTTTGTCATAGCATATAAACCGTCGAGTTCCTCAGCCAATATAGATCTATATTTTTAATTGCTGAATAGTTAGATCGACATGAGGATATGATTAAAATCGTGTACCCATAGAGATGAAGTACCCGGATCAAAGCAGGGAAAGGATATGGAGATCCCCCTATAGTCATTTGTATAACGAATGGTTGGTCACGAAAAGATAAACAAGAATATACTACCAGGGTTAACCCTCAAGTTCTGGCCCTTACTCAATGGGACTTAGTCCTAATATCATAACCTATCCCTATACTATTAGTTCCAGGGTCCCTTTTGTCATATACATTGTATTAACCATGTGTACTGCTCAGCTTTAATGGTAAGTTTACAAAAAATGAAGTTACTATCGCATGCTGAACAAGGTCGTAAATGTATGTATAATGCGTTAAAAAATGTAACAATTTGTCCCTCAATGTAGAATCTAAACTTAATGTTTTTGTTGTCTATGTTTCCTCCATTCTTAATTACGGTTGCGAAACATGGGGTTGCAATATTGCGGACAAAGTAGAAAAAGTGCATGTTGATTTTCTGAATGTAAAAAAACAGTACGCCATCCTTCATGGTATGCATATCATCAGGAAATTTCGAATAATCAAATATTGGTTGAAATTAATTAAATGCGACAATTGTGTTCTTAAGCCAGTTTATGAAGATATGGATGAATGTAATCACAGAAACTGTAATTGGCGTTGTCAAGTTAGAAAATTATTATTGTCTTCTGGTTTTTGCAATGTCTGGTTAACTCATTATGTTGATAATGAAAGGATATTTTTGCATTGTTTCAAGCAGCGTTCGACAGATGTTTTTTTTCAAACAAGGAATGAATTTGTTGAAAGATCATCCAAATGTTATTTGTTTAAATTCCTGATAGATAGCTTTACGTTACAATTTTATCTAACAAAGTCTATTCCAGATGCGTATCTTAAACATATTTCGAAATTGCGACTTTCACCGCATCAGTTATATGTAGAAGAAGGTCGGTATCGTAACATTCAGAGTGCGAATAGGTTATGTCGTTATTGTAATCGAAAACAGATAGAGGACGAGTTCCATTTTGTTCTGATTTGTCCACTCCATGTTGATATTCGTAAAAAGTTCATTAAAAAATATTACTGGAGCCGTCCATCTTCATATAAACTTGTCCAGCTGCTATCTATACGTAACAGAATATGCAATTAAGTTGGTTAGAACGGTCTAGATTCCGACCTTAGGTTATTGTGTTTTCTCTCACTCTGATTGATAACATATGAGTACTTGTTTATCTCCAGGTTTACACATATTGTTTTGTCCATCCCCTGACTACGCCACTGTATACAAATTGTATGCCTGTTTTTTGTTTTTGCAATAAACATCCTTATTGAGCCTCTGTTGATATTATGCTAAGAAAATGTTGTCACCTCATCGGTTTTCCGATAGTCACGGTACACTTATATAGGTAAGGTAATTATACAAGAGCTGTCCATCTTCCGATAATTTATTTATCTTGTACTTTATAATAATTTAAAGCATTATACTGTCCATTTTAGGTACTATATATATATATGCGATGTACAAGATTATGCTTCATTCATGATGTTATAATTATTTGGTATTTCATATCACTGATGTATCAATTATACGTTGCTGTGTATGCTTATGAGCCGTTAGGCTTCAAGTTGAATAAACAAACAAACAAACATGTTCATAAACCAAAGCTATGACGCATCTTTGGTCTTTTTTATCACGAAATGGGGTGTTCTCAGTTCCCCAACTTTTTAGAGAACAAAGAAAAGTGTTGATATAGGAAGACAATGGCAAACCAATTATAATCTGTTTCATACTTACCCCACCGGTAACTTACATCATTACATATATGACGAACAATACAGATTTATCAATCACTAAATAGTAAGAGTTTACAGTCAAATATTTCAATACTTATACATAATCATAACATTACACGTCTAAAATGTGTTTGTTATTGATATTTTAATAATTTGTTTAAATTACAAAATTATTATAAAATAAATTAACACATTTCATCTTATCATATCAGCAGCACAAGGAATGCAAAATGGATACATTTAATATTGAATGTATATATATATAAATATAGTTAATATGGAAATATTTCAATTTTTGATTTCAACATTTATTACGACTTGTATGATGTACTATTAAATTTGATATCATCAGCTTCCAGCTTAGATAGAACACAACTACCCCAGCTGTGCGCAACATGATGGGAATGGCGAATCAGGTCATCAGATTTTATTTTTAATTTCCCCCCAATGAACAGAACTCCCTTGAGGACGCCATTGACNGGTCCAGGGCTGCCTCAATCAGTTTGTGTGGTACAGATCCATAGGCACAATATTACCTGAGGCAAACCAGAGGCACAAACTCAAGGAGCTGTGCAGAACCAGGTGGGTGGAGCGCCATGATGCTTTTGAAATCTTCATAAACTTTTTACCTGCAATCATAGACACATTGAAAAAATATTCAAAGCTTCCCAACACAAGGACACCAGGAACAGCAGATGCATCCTCACTACTGAACTGTGTTTGTATCTTTGATTTCTTGGTTTGCCTGACTGTGGAGAACAAGTGCCTTTGTTTCATGTGCGAGGACTCAGTAAATCCCTACAAGAAAGAAAATTGCATGTTGTCAGAGCCATAAAGAATGTTTCCCTAGTAAAATCATCTATCCAGGATTGCAGGGATAACATAGATGAAATCCGCGGCACTTGGTATCGAGAAGCTGAGAACCTAGCACAGGACCTAAATGCTCCTGTCACCATACACAGACCTTGTCGAGGCCAAACACAAAGAACAATGTACCTGCAGATTCAACAGAGGACTATTATAGGAAGTCTCTCAGCATCCCAATGCTGGACCATCTCCTGGAGGAAATGAAGACACGCTTCATTGAGTTGCATGAGCGAGCGGCACTAGGGCTGAAACTTGTTCCTTCAGAATTGAAAAACAGTGTAGAGGTGGATTCACTGAAGGCGTTTTTCCAGGAGGACATGTCAATCACCATCAACATTTGATGCAGACTTCCTACAGTGGAAATTGTACTGGACGGAACACACAGAATTCCTACAGTGGACATTGTACTGGACGGAACAGACAGAGAAGCCCACCTCCCTTTTAACTGCTATCAAGGAATTTGATATCCACATGTTTGAAAACATTTCAACTATATTGAAAATATATGGAACATTGCCAGTAACAAGTTGTGAATGCGAACGAAGCATCAGTGTGCTTAGACTTCTCAAAACATATCTGCGGTCAACAATGGGACAGCAGAAAAAGACTTCTCTGGCTCTTATGTTCATTCATAGAGCAGTGAAAGTTTTAACTACAGACATTTTAAGAGAGTTTGCCAGGAAGAATCCAAGGAAGATGGAGCTTCCAAGCATTTTGATTGAGGAATGAAATGAGACTTCAAGACATTACATTGTGTTAACATATCTTAAGCTTACACAAACATTCTTTGTTGTGCTTCAATTCCAATATCATAACCAATTTGAAGTGACTCCGATAGAAGGTCAAAACATTATTTTAAATGTTACCTTAACTTTAGAGTTTTTATCTAATTTTCTTTCAAGAAGTCACTTTTCATCATATCATCAGCTAATACTGTATAAGAAGCTTTACTATTATGAATCATTTGACTGAGACATGTATCTGTATGTCCTTTTATCAAGTTTAATTTTTATACAATAGTGATGTGCAATTTCATATTATAACAGAAATTATCATATTTTTATCTGAAGCATCAGTTTGCATTAGTTTTAAACCAGTTCTGTAATGTATGAAAGGAAGTTACCTGCTAATAGTAACTATATCATTGTATGTATAAGGTGATTCAGAAAAGTATTTGTATATCCTTTTATAAATTTTGTATTTTTAGGAAATATTTATCTGTATCACATGTTATTTATATTTATAATAGAAATTATCATATTTTCCTTAAAGCGTCATTTTTTTTGCATTACTTTTATACAAGTCATGTTGAAATGATAGAAAGTCACCTGCTAATAGTGACTATATCATTGTATGTATAAATATAAGTTGATCTAGAAAAGTATGTGTTTATCCTT